TCTATATCAATATATAACCACACACGAGAATGGTATACTTCCCGATATACAGATACTCATATAATTATGATGACTTGATTAAGAAAAGAATGATTAAAAGTTCCATTATTCTACAGTGTATTAAAAGTTTTTAACTTTTTCTCATTTTTATTGCGGTCAACTAAATCATTGGTTACAATGGCCATGGCATTTTTAGAACCACACGGGGTCATATATGTAGGTATATAATTCTTCGTTTATGATTAGTTAATATATACTGTGTGCATTTTAGAAATAAAGATTCATCATTTAGTATAAGTACATGTATATTTTTCTCATAAAAGCATGATTACCATAATATTTTTAATGCTCTCAGAATTGGTAATCGGTTGGCTTTATAAATAGAATATGACGTATAATTTGATTTATTTCATTTTATTTTGAAGCATGTATCGTGTCACTTTTACTCTCAGTTCAGGTATGGACAAATTAATTATTTTAGTTTCTTTTCTTATAAGGACCGCCGTGATTACTACACAATACAATATGATCCACATTATGCAACAATACACAACACAAAATACAGACACACACTACATACTTCACAAAAATGAAGCATTGCGAAATCTCATATTATTGTTTTTCTTCTTTATTTTTGTTTATAATATTATCGGACACCTAGGCATAACGCATAAACTATGGAACGTAAATACATTATTTTGATATCTTGGAAAAACAAAACGTTGCAAGGTTAACGGCTATATTTAAATATTGTTCTCACCAACTAATTTCAGGGCCAGACTAGGTAGGCGGGATACCGGGAGTTTCCCGATGGGCCGCTTATGCTCGTTAGGAAGTTTTTTTTTAGGTTTATAGGTTTAGCTCATGATGCTGACAGACATAGACGCATTTTCCAATGCGATTGCTTTAGAAACTGTCTAAAATTAAATAAACGGTATTTTTATTTTTAATAATAATATTATGTGTTCGAATTCTCAAAATAATATACAATCATTTTATATGAAAATATACGTTTTTTTTAGGGTTGTTTTTATACCTTTGGTGTTTCTAAGTGGATTATTTTTTTTTATTTCTGACCCAGTCCGACCCTGACTACTTTGTTACTATATAAATATACAGGTATATAGTTATTATTTATAATTTTAAATAAAGTTTCTATGATACTGGTCGATAAACATCCAAACAAACCAATTATGTTTAAGTAAATCATCGGTCATCGAAGTGTTAAACCTGTACAGTACGAATACATGATCAATTTTATAATTTAACAAAATAGATACATACTTAAATTTTCAACATATATTCATATTACACGTTGCAGTATTAAAAAAAAAGAATAAAACATTTACTTTCCATAAATCATAACATTGACTAAAATTTACTAATGAATAGACAAACAATAAATATTATAAGCTATATTGAATTACATTTGAAAAATTGCCTACTCGACAATCATGATTTGCATAACACAAAACATCTTGTCATTGTAGACTGTAAATTATTTATAATACCATGGTGTATTAAAAATCTACATAACGTGAGCACTTTGACGTTAAAAATGTTTAGATAAAGTCTACTTTACTCGTAAGTCTTAACCTATGAAAAAATATAATTCGTTAAATAAATCATTAAGGGTCCAAGTGTTTAAAACCACTGAAACTGTGTAGCATTCGTTATGGATTTTAACATCCATGGTTTAAGGACCTCGAGATTTCTAGGCACCTAATTGTATTTTACACTCGGTTTCAAATTGGTCATAGTTTACTTCCTCACCATTCTTCTAAACTTAATCTAAAATCTTCCCCTCTCTGTACACGACATCTCGATGAATCGATATGCGATTTTGATCATATCTTATTCAATTGCCCTTCTCTCATCACTAGTAGACAACTCCTTTTTTCTTTTCTTTCTTCTTTTGGCTATATCTTTCTCGATTCTAACCTTCTCAACTCTCGACTCATTCCAATCATTCATTCTCTTATCCAATTCATTCATACCGCTAGCTTTCTTATTTAAAGTCAATATGTAGTTTATAGTTTTTTTATATATTTTATTAATTTTTTCATTTTTTAAACATATCAACATATTGTAATCGCTTTGCTATAATTATTTCTAATAAAGAGCAAGTTAATTAAAAAAAAAAAAAATCGTTAGGATAATTTGAAATTTTTTTTTTAAAGTCGTTTTATATCAAAGTTTGAAATATGATAGAGCTAATAATTGTCTTGGTAGTTATGATTTTTTTTAAAGTATTTGTAAAAAAAAAAATAAGTTTAATAAAACCTGTATTTTAAAATTTGCGATTATAATACAAGCATATAAAACTGTCTATGAAAATAGAAAAGAAAACGAAGTAGACGACTTTTTTGTTGAATAGAATATTAATCACTAGTGGTGAAGATACAGGAATGTATAAAATATTTCTTAATAAGCATAGACTCTAAGAACTCATATACCCTTTAATTGTGTCTGATAAATATATTGCACTCTTGATATTTGCATACAATTTAAATCATTGATACATTTAGTAGTAATGTAAAACAATTGTGAGGTATATATAAATCTAGCAAAATCAAAAGCTTATCTCTTAATTAGTAATAAGTAGAGTACGGATTTTAAAACAATAAAAAACTACAGAAAAGTACTAAAAAAAAACTACAACGCTATATAAATCTTATAAATATTTTGTGGACAAAAAATTGTCTTAATTGAGAATAAAACAATTTATGATCAAGTTATTTTACTGCTAATATGCAGTATAAATAAATAATGTGGGTATTGCATTTTGTTTTCAGCAATTCATAGTTGAGTTAAATAAATATTCAAGTGATAATAATATTAAATACATTTTTCAACCTTGAGAGCTCAGGATCCATGTGACCCCGCTGGACCCTCTTAATCTGAACATATGTAATTGTATATAATTAATTTATAATATTAAACATATTACTCATATGTTTAATGTTTAAGATTGCTTATTTATACTTTATATATTTTTCCTTGGACTTTTAATATACACTATGTATTCGAGTATAAGCGTTGTATAAGTTGTATAAGCGATTGCTGGTACTATAATAGTAATTTTACCAACTAACTGTTGTATTTTCCCGGATTTATATTAGCATCGAAGGACATTTTTAAAGTTATAATAATTATTAAAAGTATTTCATGAATTCAAATGATATATTTACTAGTTCATTGTGTATCGTATAATATTATAATGGGAATAAGAAATAAGAAATTAATTTATATATATATGAACTGATCTTATTTTTAATGTACAAAGCATTAACAAAAACATAAAACTATTTTTATTTTTACTCTATTAGATAACATTTTCTGAAATTATGTTTTTATCAAACTAACAAATAAGTATGCAAATAAACTTGACCCCAAAAAAAAAAAAGAAAAAAAATGTAAAATGTTTATTACCTAGTGTCAGTTTATCTTATATATTGAAACCTTGATTTTAAAATTCATCTAGATCAGAACGTATATTACAAAATCCAAGAGGCAGACCAAGGAATAAATAAAACTAAAATATTATTAGCTATAAACGAATTAAAATAAGTTAATTAGCTTATTCGGTGTTATATCATTATTTTTCAGCAATTTTATTTATATTGTTTTTTTTTTACATTTATTTTTCCTTTGTTTATTAAAAAAGTTAAATATTCTGACATTAGTGTGTTTCGAAAGTCTAAAAACATTATTTGTATTTCATTATTTATCATATGTTTTTACTATATTTAAATATATATAGTATTTTTAGATTTTTACGCTCGATAATTATCAAACAAATTAGTCTTAAGTGAATTCAAAATTATTATTAGAGTGTACGCACAAACCACAAAGTTGGAATTCGGTTTTTTCTTTTAACCCAAATATATAAGTGATATAAGTTATTACCTAGTAATAATAGTAGGTAACTATCCTACATACTGTATTACTAGTATCTTCACCTACGTTATAGCGATTGCCCATTGTACGTTGATTTTTTTACACGTGCTAATGGGTATGTGTTTTCAAGGATGACTGGTACATTTTAGATGCAGCATATTATAACAATATATCTCCCAATATACCATCTGAACATAGTCATTATTGTAGGTAATAGTAACCTATTAAATAACCTGCATTGTGTATTAGTCTTACTATCATTTTTAACTAAATTTAATTTATGTGAACTTTAATTGTGCATCTTATACTATACTAAAATTATTAATTAAGCTAATACTTTACATTTCAATTCATAAATACGTATACAATGAAATTCTACACTGATAAAAATGTATGAATCTTCATAACTTCAAATCGCTTTCTTGATTTCAAAAACAATATGGTAAAACAACAAAGATATTTAAATTTTTTTTTTTCGATAAAAATATTTTAATATTATTATTTTATTATTTTAATTTTAGCAATTTTTTATTTAACTTATATTATTGGTGTTTTCATCTATTTAATAAACATTTATAAATTATATGTGCGTTGGATAATAATTATACATATAATAATTGTATGTACATGTTTTTATCCATTAATTGATTTTGATCATTCTGTATTAGAGTATTATATTACATTATATCTCATTATACATTAAGATATATTACTAAAATAGTAGTATTATAATACAGTAAGTGATGTGATTGAAAACGGTCGTTACCGGACCTGATAATTTTTGCAAGGCTGATATCGACAAGGTGAGGTATCCCATAGGTAATGTTTGAATCGCAGCGCGATGAGTAAATACACAATTATTTATAACAGCCCAGAGCTTGTTAGGATTTCAATATTGATAATATTACGACCAAGATGAATATGTACATATATTTTTTTCATGTAATTATAGTATACATGTACAAGGACAGTTTAATTTATTTTTTTATTTTTTAATATACCATTAAACACTATACAAAAATAGTATAAAAAAAAAATCCTCTCTAATCTATACAATAATAGATTTATTATTATTTTATAGAATTTTTTTTTTTTTTTAGTGATGCATCCAGAAATGCCCATTAGATTGACGGAGCGACGTCCTCCATTGGAAACCCAGCAGTCAACGATATGGACTAGGCGTCAACAAGCTGTATGCGTGAGACGAGCTTATAAGAAATATGGACAAAGCTCCAATCCACACGTCATACTTGACGGACTCAATATGACGGTTCCAAAAAGTTCCATGTGAGTTTTTTTTGATTGTTCTAATTTTAAATTTTACGGTCTAAAAAAACGGTACAAAAAATAATAATACAAATAATGAGTTGTTAAGTAACATACATTTTATATTGAAAATTATCTCTAATTATAACATATTAATATGATAAGAAGATTTTATTTACATAAAAAAAAGTTTAATTTTTTTATTTTATGTGTAAAAGTATGTGTAAAAAGACTTAAAAATGATTTCTACAACTATTACTCAAAACCCATCACTATCGCGAATATCGGAAATCGCGGAAGTGATTGTGTGGTTATTTATATTTTTGGAATAATTAAAAATGGCCTGCGTAAACCGTAATATAAAGTCAGTGCCGTATTTACCAAACATTATATCTGGGATGAAACTTCAAAATGCGCCCTTATGTATTTTTTATTTAAAAATATTATGCTTATTAGATATTATTTTCAATGATTGCTTTGATTAATATAAAGGATGTTAAAGGTTTTTGTAAACAAAATATACGACATTGACCGTTGTAATTTTTAACATTAAATGCAAGATTTTAATTTTTGCCCTCTCCCAGGAATTGCGCCAGAGGCGTAGGCACCCCCTTGCTACAGCCCTGCCCGCGGGTTTCGACCGGCCTGTATAAAGTAATAATATTATTTTATTATATAGGAAAGTGGTTTTCACTAATGAATCAATTTAAATAAATAAATCAATTTTTCTTGTATAACACCGATAGAACTAAAAAAAATGTACGAGTCAATTTTGAAAATGCTGCCTAATAAAGTGCCGCTTTAGGCAGGTGCCTAGCTCGCCTATAACTTGAACCGGCCCTGAGTATAGAACATTTTCATACTCACATACAATTATTTTTTTCTCAGTGCTATACAGGCAATTAAGGCCTTTTACACGCTTCAACCAAACTTCTCCAAACATTCTGGTCCATTTTATCCTCCGATCGCTTTGTCTTGTCGGTATCTGAAATATCTTTCTTAACTCTGTCTTACCACCGCTGGCAAGGTCTTCTCCTTGGTCGCTTTTTTGTTGGGTTTCGGATTAGGACATTTCGTATGACACTTTCACCAGCCCGCCAGACATGGCCAGCCCACTCTAATCGTTTTGCTTTTAAGAACAATCCGATATTTGGTTTGTTATATAACCTTCCTAGTTCATCGTTATTTTGTCTCTCATACTCCCCATTTTGATTTTGAACAGGTCCGTGAATTTTCCGTAAAACTTTTCTTTCGAAGGTGAGTAGCTTCTTTTCATCCTCCTGTGTTGTGGACCATGTCTAGCATGCGTACATTACTATCGGTCTGAGGTAGGAGATGTACAGTTTCTCTTTTGTAGCTTTGGACAGTCATCTGGAGATGAGTATCTTATTCATAGCAAAATACGTTTTGTTTGCATTACTTATTCTTAACTGAATTTTATTATGTATATTATTTTTTGTATTAATATTAACTTACAATTATATATGAAGAATATTTTATCTACTGATAAATACCGCCAAGTTTGTGGTCTACGACGAATTACTGACTTGGTATAATAGTTGACAAACAATTAATAAGTAAGTAAGTTCTGGGGGTTCAGTCTGCTGTATTAAATATGGCTGTTCCATATCAGTGCATTTTTTAACTAGTTAACTAGGTGACACAAATGTCGCCCAGTGATTAAACTCTGTCGACAATATTTTGAAAGATTGGGCGAAATAATGCGAAACAAACGTGTAATACTATAAACGTACTAAGGTATTACATTGACTATTTTGAGAAAAACATTTTTTGTCGCTCAGTGAAAATTCCTTCTAAAATGCACTGGTCCATATAGGTTGAAATTTTTATACATTATTTTAATTTATGATCGAAACAAGCTTCATTTAAAATTTAAAATTATATTGTAATCTTGAACATCTATGTATTGACTGTTCTCCGGTTTTGTTCTTAGATATGGTCTATTGGGAGCTAGTGGATGTGGAAAAACTACATTGTTAAGTTGCATCGTTGGGCGAAGAAGACTGAACGCGGGAGAAATATGGGTTTTGGGTGGTAAACCAGGATCGGCTGGTAGTGGCGTTCCGGGGCCACGTATTGGATATATGCCTCAGGTACTTATATAAAATTAAAATAGGATGAACGTTTTATGTACTATATATGGTTTATGGTTGTATATATATTTTTTAAGGAAATCGCGCTATACGGCGAATTTACGATACGAGAAACTATGCAGTTTTTTGGTATGGTAAATGGCATGACTCCGAAGCAAGTGGACGATAAAATAGAATTTTTGCTCAAATTTTTACAGTTACCGTCGGCTAGTCGAGCGGTAAAAAATTTAAGGTGATTAATTTCTTTGTAAGGCATTATGCATCATCTTCTCAACTATAAAAAAAATAACTCAAAACATTTATTGATTTATGTATTATATATTTCTACAGTGGTGGTCAACAACGAAGAGTTTCCTTCGCTGCGGCACTGTTGCATAATCCCGAATTACTGATCTTGGATGAACCAACCGTTGGTGTTGACCCAGTTCTTCGACAAGGGTTCGTGTTGTGTACCTATTTTTGTAAAAAACTTAAAATTCACCTATTTATATTACATAAATGTTTTGTTTGATTTTTACGTAGAATTTGGGATCATTTAGTTCATTTGACCAAGGAATGCGGAACAACTATTATTGTAACAACTCATTACATCGACGAGACTAGACAAGCACACATGGTAATTTATCTATAATACATTCGTGTATTTGGCTATCGTTAAGTGATTCACTGTTTTTAGTTTTTAGAACCTACTTGACCTTTAAATTTTATTGGATATCTACGATAATATCGATACTTTAAAAACATTGTTAATGGTTATTTTAAAATGTACTGTATAGTATGTGACAATGTTCATTGTGACCATAGACCGTTTGGTTTTTATATGCCCTTGTGAATTATTACACTTAATCCCAAATAATGCAAGCCATATGTATATTAATGGTTTTTAACACAAATAATTGCATTATATATGATTCGTCATTTTATTGTTGAGAGTACCTATATATTTCTATATGTATTGGATATCTGGCAGATTGGCTTAATGAGAGGTGGTAAATTTTTGGCTGAAGAATCACCAGCATCGTTGTTACAAAAATACAATTGTCAGTCACTAGAAGACGTTTTTCTAAAACTTAGCGTCATTCAAAACCGTGGAAAACGAAGGCGTAGCAGCATTTTACACGATATAACAGCTTCCATCGCTGTACCGGTAATAAAGTCGTTATGATAATATATTATTATAATCAACAAAAAAATCTAACAAAATTATAGTCATTAAACAAATAATTTTACCCTATAGGAAACTTCACCTGTACCTGCAGTCGAAGCCCTGAACTCAATATGTGATAACACGTCAGAAATGAGCGGAGAATTCGGGGATAGCATAAGTCCTGTACCACTAAGTAAGCGTATGTCTATATGTTCAATGCAATTAAACAATTCGGAAATGGAACTCCCACCGGAGGCAGAAATAAAAATGACTCTTTTCGATCGGTGCAAACTGTACCAGTCACATCATATGCGAGCATTGATATGGAAAAACTTCCTATGGATGTGGAGGAATGTTGCGTAAGTAACCTAATAAAGATAGAACACGTTTCTGTATAGAAAATATACGTTTTTAAGTATAATGTAACATATCGTGTTTCAACGAAAATTAGGTTAAGTTACAAACACAAATGACTCATATGGTATCCAATAATCAATACATACTAATAAATTAAGTAATACGTTGCCATTTAGCGTGTTATATATATATATATATAAAACCAGCTTAATCTTAAATTAAGTTTAGTAAAAGAAAATAATATGTTATGATAAGTTTCTGGAAAAAACTCACAGTTCATATTATACAGTATGAACATTACAATAAATAATAATCATGGTAATATTTAAAAATTACTGTTCGAACTAACGAAATTAAGCAATAATTAAAATATATAATAACACTGTCATTTTTAAATATAAAAGTAAAAAACATACTATATTTACAAATTATATAATGGAATTAAACATTTTTTATTTTTAACTACGATGAACATTAAATTACATGAATTAAGATTTATTGAGAATTCGGTTCTGCAACATAGGATCCAAAGTAATGTAATTGCTTAGGCGCATATCATTACAATAATAAATAGATGATTCAAACTACGATATAGGTATAGTTTCCTATTAGACGATGACAGTTTAGATAAAAAGTTTACAACTACAAAAATCAAAAATCATGTAAAATGTATAACTGTACAATAATTATTATAACTTTCATAAATAAATTATATATATTAATATTATAGAATAGGAAGGAAACCTATATATATGTAGGTTTAAATAAATCTAAATTTGGCTCTTTAATTAAATAATTAAACAATAAAAACATACATTTAAAGGAACTTTAATTTCTTTCACATTTTGTTCACATCGGGATTTGAATAATTCAACTCGTTAATAAAATAATTAAATCGCCTATATTTAATATTTTTAAAATAGGTAATAAAAATTATTAATATGTACACTATGAATGTATTGTGATGAATATGTGCTATCCAGACTTGAAAAAATTATTAAATTAATACTCAATAAATAAAAGAAATCACATATAACACTTCAATTTTCTTAGAGCTATAGTTGAATTGATATTAATTATTACTCTATGTACAATATTGTAAATTTGTTTTGTATTTTAAGTTTCATACTTTTCCTAGCAGTAAAATTTTGCAAACAGGTACTGCCCATTTGTCGATTAAATGCAACAAAAAAAAAAAGAAGATTTATACTTTATGCATTTACTACATTTATTCCAGAATTGTTAGTCTTTAGAATTATTGAGTATTTCAATAAAATATTTTTAAATTTATTGTTTACAGGGTAATGATGTTTATTATCGGACTTCCAGTCGCCCAAATCGTTTTGTTTTGTCTATCGGTCGGAAAAGATCCATACGGTTTGCACTTGGCTATTGTCAACCATGAAACCAATAACAAAACGTGTCCTCCAATTGGATCTTGTGATTTAACTCAGCTCAGTTGTCAGTTTCTACATCAGATTGAAATACGTCGACAAGTATTAGTGAGTGAAATCTCATAAGATTATTTATTATAATCACACAATTTATTTCGGAAATTAATGCACGTTTTGCATCAAAGGACTATTTTGATACCGAAGAATCTGCTTTTAAAGCAGTTAAATTGGGTAAGGCGTGGGGCGCTTTATCTTTCACGACCAATTATTCGGCGTCACTGAGAGAACGCATAGAAGAAGGGCAACAAGCAACGGATTTGATACTAGATGACAGTATTGTATCCATATGGCTCGATGAATCTAGTAATAATAAGCTTTATACATTTTTATTTTAATTGGTATTTATCATAATTAAAAATCTTTGCTAAAACTAAAATTTTGCGAGACCTAAGGTTACATGGTTTGTTTTTTATTTATTTTTTCTTAAACATCATAAGTACACATGAGAATAGTATTTTAGTATAATACTATACCTATGGTTAATATTATATTTTAGAACTCTGATAAATCATTATTTTAGATCAGCAGATATCTATGCTGCTTCGGCGTGATCTTCTATTTGCATTTCAAGATTTTGCTTCATCATTGGCAGATTCTTGTAACATTAGTTCAAAAGTTGTGTCGACACCAATACGAGTTAGTATTTATTAACACTCCAATGATTTTATTTTCTGTTTTTATGTTGAAAAACGATTTTTTTTCATACATTGTATAACGAAAGTATTACTTTTAAATTAAACTAACTATATAGTTTTGTGTTTGTTTTAGTTTAACCATCCGATATACGGTCCTTATGTACCAAACTTTACAGATTTTGCAGCTCCAGGAGTCATACTCACGTAATCAATTGTTGATATTATAATAATAAAAATAAAATAAAAAGCTGATGCAAATTGTAAAAATATTCCTTACATTTTAGGATTATATTTTTCCTAGCAGTTGCTTTAACTTCAGGTGCTATGTTAATTGAAAGAAATGAAGGCATATTAGAAAGAAGTTTGGTTTCAGGTAAATTTTAACACGATCGATTTATAAGTTAAACAAGTTGATTTTATTTATTTATCCGTATGGCTAATAAGTTGTTAAATTATGTGTATGGAATTTTCTACGCATACTCATTTGTGTGATTTTACTAGGTATTACCGGGATTGAAATACTTTTGGGACATGTTGTGTGTCAACTTTTGATCATGGTATTCCAATCATTAATGGTTATAGCATTCGCACTAGTAATTTTTGATGTTACTAATGAAGGTGACGTGTTTTGGATATGCTTGTTAACAATACTGACCGGATTGTGTGGCATGTGTTTCGGTTAGTAATTTATATTGTGTATTATCTGTAGAATATTTGCTTGTTACTTTTGTCAAACCTAAAGGAATATCAGAACGTGATGATAGTTTAAAAGATTCATAAAAAAAAAAGATTATTTTTTTTTTGTTACATGTCAGCGATAAGATATAATATAATCTTATCTGTTACAGGGTTTGTCGTCTCTTGTGTAACTGACAGCGAGAGGAACGCGACGTATTTGGCTATGGGCAGTTTTCTACCTATTGTAATGCTTTGCGGTTGGTATATTTTATAAAATATGATTATTGATATTATTGTTGTGGTTCATTATAGAGGTCATATAATAACATACGTTTAGTATTCATCACTTATCAGAACCGTACCGAACAATAATTTAACATGAGAAAACAATTAAAAAATCCCCTTATATATTTTTAAAGTGATATCACTTAATATTTTTATTTTAATTTTAATATATTTATATTTATATTTTTAAAAAAATACAATATCAAACAAATCATTTTTATATTGTTACTATAATTCACTGGAAAAAAAAAATAATTTAACTGTTCACGTGTCTAGGTATAATATGGCCAGTGGAAGGAATGCATACGGTGGTGAAATCCATTAGTTTTGTATTGCCATTAACGCAGTCGACAGAATCGATGAGATCAATGTTGGCAAGAGGTTGGCCAATCACAGAACCTTCCGTATACATAGGTTTCTGTTCCACATTAATATGGATTTCTGTATTCCTCACATCAAGTGTACTGTTGATTAAATTTAAAAAAGGATAGTTCATAAAATATTATTTTTTCATTGCATATAATGATCTACAAAAAACCTACAAAAAAGTTAATTGATAACAATATATTTGTTACTACCATATTATAGAGTTCCTTGTATATTATGTTCAAATTATACATATCAATATAACTCTGGGGAAACGGCGGGTACTTGATTGTAACAATTTTATTTTTTGAAGGTGGTTTATCAGTATTATTTAAATTACTATTGATACTTCAACGGTAACTTATAATTAAATATTTTAAGCAATTCTTGAAAGGTAAATGATTGAGCCTTTAATCTATGTTGTTGAATTGTACTCGAAGTAAAATCAAATGTAGTACACTAAAAATTTAAAATTTTATTACATTTAGATGACTTATTCTTTATTTGGATTATTTGGTAAGCTTTTTATAACTCTATTGTAAATATTAGATATCTATGGTCATATTTAAATTATATTTATTAATTTATTTGTGTTACTTCATATATAATAATATTACAATATCTACTAAATAAAAGACTTTGATTTTATACAGAAATAGTAATACTTATTATTTAACCAATCAATAAAATATATTATTATATATTATAATATTTTATTTTTTTATCATATTTGTATTATTTAAATTTAATGGAATGTTATTATATTAATAATAACAAGGGTAAATATTTTATAAATAATAATAATGTAAGTTATTCAAATTATCATAATTTTATTATTATTATTACGGATGTAAAATATTGAGTTGTAGATTTTTGTGTAAAAATAAAATATATTATAATTTATAAACTGTATTGTTAATATCAACCAACATCTTGATCAGAAATACTGTAAATATTAAATAATGTATTAGTTATTTTTTAATGTTAAAAAATAATTGTTTAAATTCCATTTATTCTATATAAAATATATTTATATTTTATCATTAATAGTATTAACACTTGATTAATTAGCAAATAAGTATGTATGATTATAATCACATTAATTTAACCTGCTAAGTAGTTGTTTTTCTTTAACAATAATTTATTTTAATTCTTATTAAATAAAATCCACAGAATTAACAATATTTGAGAAACATTACATTTATAAATAAAATTGTATTTATAATTATTCTAACCATTGGAAGTTTAGGGAAATTATACATGCTATGTTCTGCATGTTGTCGAATGAGAGTTTTAACATTAATATTATAAATCAGTAAATGAAAAATTACTAACAATATAAAAGTTATAAGCAGTCTTAGAGATTACTACATTAAGCAATTTATATTAAATACATTCCTTTTAACAACGAATGCTAGAGTTTATTATTATTCATTAAATTCAGCCAAAAGTAAATTAATAAGTAAATAATCATAAGAAAATGTTTGCATAATTTATGGCTCAAACATTTTTACCAATGCCATACTTTAGCATAAATAAAAATGTACTGATCTAATGTTCATACAACCCTTTCCACATTTGACTATGATCAACAAGACTAACTCAAAATCAAAGATCACTATTTATTAAGTGGCTAAAGCTGATGGTGTACTACAACACTTGATTTTCAATAACTTTGAAAAAAATAGCAATGCCAACAGCTTCAATGTCTATTATAGTCTATTCAGAATAAGAGTGCCCAAAATTGTGCATGTCTACAGAACCATTAACAGTCGAAACATCTGGTGATATCTAATTGCTCTTTATTGTCATTGTTTATCAAAGTTGGCAGTTGCTGCCTTGTAGGATGATTATAAAAATAAAATTACCCATTTGTTACCCATTGTATTATACTATATATATTATAATATGTCAAATCACTACATATAACAGCTCCTTGTTGAAGACACATGCGCAGTAAAAACCAAGTTTTGACCAAACGACTGAGCACTTTTAAGATAAATAGACTGTAGATATGCTAAATAACTAATAAGAAAACCAATTTGTTAAAATAATACAAAATCTTAAGGTTTAGTTTTTTACTTTATAAGTATTAAATTATAGTGGAATTTAACATCCATTTTCATTAAATTACATAAATTATTGTATTCAAAATACAATTTTAAGTTCAATTTGATTTACTGAGGCATTTACAAATAATTATTAACCAAAATTTGAGATAGTTAAGATTGAAAGATAAATCTAGTACAATTTTATTAGTCAACCATCAGAATAATAAATTGTTAAAATAAAAACATAACTTGGAAATTAAATACAAATTTGATTAAAAAAAATAAATAAATAAAAAAAACTGAAAAAATTGTTTTAATATTATATTAGTATTTAAAATGACAAAAGTATTAATTGGAATCAGTACTTCAATAAATACTAAATTTCATACTAAATTCAATACATGCATAAAAATATATTGAAGTCAACATTTTAAAAAATATGAAGTTAACACAAAAATGATTTGTCTTCATTTGAAATTAAAGGTGTACTGGAAATAGATAATATAGCAGTAATGTATATAAATGAAAAACAATGAGCTTATTTCCACTTTCCCCAATTCTAAGTAATAATCTAATATATGTTACAATAAATCAGCATTTAGGCAGAACTGCTTGATCCAGTACGACTGTGCTTACGTCTTCTTGGAGATCTAGAGCGAGATCTCATTCTACGTGGACGAGGTGAACGTCGTTTAATTGGCATAGGTGATCTACGCCTGTAGCGTGGTGGACTTCTTCGACGGCCACCCCCACCGCCGCCACCACCACCCCCACCACCACCACCACCCCAGCCGCCACGACGGATAGGACTTCTCCGAACAGCTGGACGAGGTAATAAGACAGGTGCACAAGTTATTTCTTGTCCATCAATTTGACCTACAATAATACAAGATTATTTGATTTTTTATATTTAAAATTGTCAAAATAAAACATTATATTTATATACCTCCATCCATATGTTTCATAGCATTTTCAGCTTCTTCTGGCGAAGAATATTCAATGTAAGAAAAACCTTTACACAATTTATTGAATCTGTCTAAAGGCAGATCTACTTCTTTTATAGTTCCAAAATCAGAAAAGATTTCTTGAATATGCTCCTTAGTAATGTTACGGGTTAAACGACCGACATGAATACGACATGGTTTAGGAGTTGGGGACCTTTCCTTCTTACGTCTTTTTGGGCTACCTGATCTAAAGTAATACAAATTTATATTAATCAATATTACTAAGTATCATGAAAGAACTTTTATAAATTGTTCTATGTATTTACCTAGATTTCCGAGATATTTTTGTTTTACTTTCAACTTTTTTTAATTTGTCTTCATCATCACGTCTAGATTTTCTTGGACTGCGACTTCTGCTCTTTGTTTTGCTTTTTGATCTTGGTTGCCTTTGAAATAATTAAAATCAATACATAAATAAAATTTAATAATTCTTACACTAACTACAAAATAACTGTGAATACACGGGATAATTGTACAATATTGGAACACCTTTAAGTCATTAATTAGTTTTTTATTAGACTTATTATAATCTACTATCATGAGCCAATAATTATATTAATTGATACTAATTTAATTATTAAAGAACAATCACACAGAGTACTTGCGTTAGAAAAAGAAATCATGAAAATCAATCAGGTAGAACTTCAGGTATAACTGTCATAAGAAATCGCCTCACATTTTCATAATATATAAAGATAACAACATATTCAGTTTTATTACAAAATATAATACTTTAAAAAAAAAAAAAATGAATATTGATAAAAATAAACAGATGCCATTAGAACTATTTTTTTAGTCTATATATATATATATATATATATATTTGATAGACACTTTTCTAATAACATTTGGTCACCTCTGACCCATAATTCAAAGGTAAAACTTACTTTGCTTTTGCTTTTGCACGACCAGCAGAAGTTCCTGAAGAACTACTTGAACTTGAAGAGCTAGAGCTAGAATGTGAACTAGAACCTGAACTACTTGAGCTTGAACGACTACTAGATCCTGAAGACCCACTGCCGGAACGTGAACTACTAGATGAAGAACTAGATATACAAATAAAGATGATAATAAATATGACATTAAAAATAAAAGACAAAAATAATAATTCTTACCGACTACTACTTGAACCACTGCTAGATGAACGACTACGCTTTTTCTTCTTAATATTATGTTCTTCTCTTTTGTTTTCCTTATCGGATTGATCTCCTTCCATTTTTTCCTTGCGACTTTTAGGCCTATATAAATAAATAATTACTGATTATTGTAAGATTTTTTTTTGCGCAAAAAAATTATAATTGTATTATACTGTCAACAAGACTTAAGTTGTTTAGTTAGCTATAATTTATATTACAAAAGCATATATAGCAAATTAAATATATTTTTTTTATTTAATGAAATGGTCAAATTTTATAAAATAAAACCAGACATTTAACTATCTGACAGTTAAAAATCTTTACAAAAAAGATAAACTGTACACAGTTATAAATATTTTTATAATATTGTATGAATTATTCTTGTTAGCAGTGATCCCGAATCGTAGAAATAAGAGTAAAAAATAAAAATAAAAAAATATCACAAATCGAAATCAATCGTTTAAATGCATTAATATTTTAAAGATGTCGGTAAATCGGCCATCAGCTAACACATGAGAATACTTACAGATCTGAAACAACCATTGTTCAACGGTCGACGATTTTCAACGTTGAACCCAATTACAATAGTAACAATTCAATACCATGAACAATCTCGACCGACCGTTTTACTGAAAATGTACGTATAAACAAAACACACACAAACAATAAATATTGCCCACAGTTCACGCACAAAATGTTTACGGTTGTCGATACGCGTTGGAAATCCGCGGTCCGGCACTGGGCACAAACCGGAGGGGATTTTATTCGGTTCCGTGGTTATTATACCACACAATAATACGATGATAATATCGTAGCGTCCACAGCGTATTTTATACCGTGGTTACGGCGATTTACACGTTGATAATCAATAGTGGCCAACATCACGGCGTTTTCGGTTCACGATAATTTACGATCAACTACCGCGTTCCAAACGGATGGAATGTTCGAATCGCGCTCGAAGTTCCCATTGTGATGAACAGACACTTTAATTAAGAGTTATTTATTTAACTTATTACAGTTGTAGCCTATTTGTACAAAACTAATTACCAATAGATTTTCTTCAAATAATATTTGATCCAAGTCTATTCACAATAACACATGTGATATTAACCTATGAAACTTGCAGTGTTGCCTTATTGGCCATTTTATGGCGATATATAACCATTTCGATGGCCAGAGTCAGAGGTGGAACCACGATTAAAGATACACTATATATCTTTAATCTTGGGTGGAAATAGGAATTTTTACGCCCGGGGAGAATGTTAAAATCACACCCTATCATAGACCAATAATCAAATACTCTTCTGGAGAATTTTTTTCTTATAACTAATATACAACCATACTTAATCAGTTTTAATCTAATATTAGTAAGTTAACAAAGTTAAAAATATCAAACTAATTGTTAATAACTATAAAAATTACACCTTCTACAATTTTACGACCTAGGATGATCCCTGTCTTCTATTCAGGGGCAGATCCAGAGTCGGGGAACTGTGGATCAACCCATTTCAAGAGGCCATTTATTAGGGATGAAACTGAATTAGAAATAAATACCTTGTAAAAAAAAAAACAATATGCTCATAAAAGTGTATAAGTATATTTATATTACATTTTAGAATTAGTGATACCACCAATAATGACTTATTTACAATTGATAAATATATATTCTAATTTTATCAGCGCAACAAACGTACGGAATAAAATGATTTACTTAACTTTCTACTAAAATGATATAATTTAAAATATAAATTATGAATTGAAAAATTTTATACATGGCATTGAATATACATGGCATTCATTTTTCAAGTAACTCCGATGGGCCAACTGTCCAAGAAACCAAATCAAGGTCTAAAAAGAGAAAAACATTTCCAAGAGGCCAATTTTGTCAACAAATATTAACTGTGGGTCAACTGACCCCCTGAATCCCCCCTAGATCCACCCCTGCTTCTACCCCATAGTTCCGCATAGATATATACAACAATATATATAAATTTATATTTGTGGGTATCGTTGAGTTAATGAGTCATTGAATTGTGGCGTACTGATTTAACTTAATCAGTACACCTAAAAGAGTCAACTCTTTGAATCAACTCAGTCATAAACTACCTATCCATATGTATCTACAATATGATTTAGAACAGGGGTTCCCAACCCGTGATACGCGAAGAAATTTTTTGGTATAATTATTTTTATTATTATTTGCAATTAATATTATTTAGTTTTAATTAATTTGTTATTATTTTATTTTATAAATATCGATGACATTAGGATGTAATCGTAGAAATTTATATTTATTATTATTTATTCAGCCTGATATTGATGTTTTTGTACAAAATAAACAACAACAAAAAGCACATTAAATTTAAAAAATATAATTGTTATTTTAATATTAAGATTTAACTAAAAATTAAGATTTTTTTAGCTTTCATAAATTTCAAATAATAAAAAATGTTAATAAATGATTGAATACTAAAAATATACATTAAAAAAATGTTGACTCCCAATTAAGTTTTAGAATTAAGATGGTACACATATTGATTAGGTATACAAGTGATGGTACTTAAAGATAAAAAGGTTGGGGGAACCCCTGATCTAGAAGATGTGAAAATTCTAATTAAATTCTAAATCTTAACCTTATCATAGTAAATGGTTTCATTCAATATGTGAAGTAGTGTTGAGTCTTGAAGAAACCAACAATTATTTTAAAGAATATTACTATTTATTTTTTGATAAACAGATAAATATATATATATAAAATGGTAAAAAAAAAAAATTTGTAGACATTATTAAAAAGTAGCATAATATCAACCAATAGGTTTATATGGCTTATATATTTATAACTATCTTGAAATTCAAAGTATAAAAGAGTTCATAAAAAAAAATGTTATAACTTTTTTCATTTCTAAATGTAATAAAAAATGAAGTTAAGATCGAATATATTTTTAATTAAAATTGTATATAATTTATGAGCTTCAAAAGATTAAATAAATGGTAAAATTATTGTTCTGATCCATTTATAATATAATATTATCATTATTGAGAAGTAATTATAACTAAAAAAAGAAATTTGAGGACACATAAAAATAAAACAAGCTGTGTACAAGCGTTTAGGCCATTTATCCATATCATATAACAGTGAGCTGAATGTAACCAATTTCAAGTTATTAAATAATTTGCTAAATTACAAGTTGTATCTATTGACTAAAATAAATATATAACAATAATCAATATTATTCACTCTAATTATTATTGTTATTTTACAAAATATATACTTTGTAATTTTACATTTAGTCAAAAGTTGGGTATAAAAATATTTATTTATATCATTCTTATAAAATATTAACTAAACACAGCAACATTTTGATTTTATGAAATATATATAATTAACAATAAGTAATATTACTTGATAACTTTAATAAAATTATAAATAATTTAAATAACTAATTCTATATTTTTTAGTAGAAATTTAATTAAATAATATTATCAAAAGTACCTACTTAGCTGAAAATTGGAAGTAATCATGACAACAGGATACAAATAGTATTTTATTTTTGTTTCATAAAATAAAATAGTATATCAAGATTATTGTTAAATTTTTTGATTACATTGTACAAAAATTATTTCTTTTCTTAGATTTAAATATATTTACATGAGCATTTTGTAAACTAAAATGTTTAAAATACTTAAATCAGAGAGTTGCTGGTCAATAATTGGTTTCTTTTAACAGCAAGAAACTTAATGAATATAATAACCATTAGAGCCATAACAATAATATAAATCAAGTGAATTTTAAGATAGGTGGCATACTGCAGATACAATGTTATCTATAAAGTGTATACGATAGGATGGCCAACAATTATAACTACATATTGTATATATATTAAAATATTAACAGATTAACTAACATAACAAGATAATACAGGTCTTATTGGTAAAATTCACACTTTTATGTTTTCATTTCCAGAATCTGGAGATATAATTTCATTATCTTTTATCATTGATTCGGTTGCAGGATCTTGATTCATTGGTATTTCAGTTTTATTTCCAAAACATTTTTTTATTATGAAGGCTATTAATAAAGGAATGGGAGTCATTAATGCCACAGCTACTGGTATCACTAAAATAATTAATATTTATATAAATAAACATATTCATTAATTGTAAAATAGACTAGTTGAAGATCAAAGATTTCTAGCTATAATATATTAGCTATCTAGTTGAAAAAATTGAGTTAATTTAGTATTACCTGTTGTTAAATCAGCAGCGGGTTGTCCCAATGAAAATTTTAACATGAATATAGCAATACCAGTATTTTGTATACCAGATTCAATCATCATTGATATTATATCCGGTTTGGACAAACGTGCAGGAACAGCTGTTAATAATCCTACTATATAACCTGTCCATGGTATTATTGCACCAGCCAAAATAATCTGAAACAAAATAAATTTTAAATGCCATATCATAATTAAAACAATTTAATTAAAAACTCACTTTCCAAGAAAATATTTTAAATAAGTAGAAGTTGGTGACTGTGGCAAAGATAATAATAAATATTATCAAACAACTTGATAATGGTTTTAACACACGTGTCATAATTCTACTCACTCTAGGCAAAAACCGTTGAATACAATAACCAATAAATAAAGGAATAATTAATGCAATAATAGATGTGGCAATACGTGAATAAGGAACAGGTATTTCTCCCATAGAAAAGATGCGTTTACCAAGAAACACAATCCAAAATGGTATCATAACTGCAAAATTAAATAAAATATATTTTAAAATGATTTGAGTTCTTATATTTTATTTTTATATATGTATTTAAAAATAATAAATATTAATATACTGTTTAATATTGCCTAACCAGTTCTATATCAAAATTGAACTATACAGAACCACACACTGTTACTATAAAGTTTAATTACACTAAAAAATCAAAAAGATTCATAATTATATTATAAGATCATAAGTTTTACTTTTTTGTAAAACATAAAATAACAAACATGTTCAGTGATTTAAGAATTATAATTTTTAATTATTGTCAAAATTACTTATGAAAAGTCTTTTCTACACTTTTTTCTTTAAATTTTGTTATAAAAATTATTTCTGCTTAAACTAATTATAAATGCAGCGATTATTGTTAGATTTTTCTTAATGAATATTAGGGGATGAAGATTGTATTCCAAGATATCATAAAGAACACATCCTACTCTGAAATATCTAGAGAAATAAAAATTCTTAATAAAGAAATAAATTGTGATAGTATAAATGACCAATTTCCATTTTTATACATAAGAATCTACATAAATTATTGATGGAATAAGTAGTTGAATCTAAGAAAATCATAACTTATAACTAAACTAGACTTACATTTGTTTTAAAAGTTAAAAAATAAAACATTACAGGTAAGATGCAAAAGAATGAACTTAATTACAAGAATTTATTTCAATATAATTCAGAAAAATCATTTTTAAAATTTATTATTCTCGAAAATGTTGGAGTATTTTAATTACTATGAACAATGATACTTATAAATAATTGTTTTTGAAATTGAGTTGTACAAAGAAATTACCGAAGTTAGTATTAATTGTATGGCTATGATAAAAAAAAGTATGATAAAAGTCATATTTTTTTTGTATTTAAGTAATAATATAAATTAATTTTATTATACAGTCTTTAATTAAATTTTTCAAGTTGGAGATTAATAATAAATAATACATAAATATCTTTATTTTGTTTTTATAACATTTATGCAATCATTATATATTACCATTCTTAGTTAAAAATACAGTTTTAAGAGCATATTTCAAGTATTATTAGTATAATATACCTTGAACCCTACTTTTAAGTTATGACTAAAACTATTTGACAACAATTTAAAAATCATTACACAAGAACTGTTTTGGCATACAACCCTTCATTATTTTGTTGTAGAATACTAACCAAAAGAAGCCAAGGTTCCAACGGTTGTAAGGACAATACTGAGATTGATATTGCCACCTAAAAGCAGTGACCATACGCTAGATGCACCACCTCCAGGACTAATTCCCGTGAAGAACAAACCTAACTGCATTGAAACTGAATTTTGGAATATTAACAATGCATAAAAATAACTGAGCTGAAATTAAAAAAGAACTATTTAAAATGTATAGATATTTTATAAATTGTATACAAACATTCAAGTAAATTTACAATTGGTAAAATTAGGAACTGAGCAAAAAAAGAAGCGGCTGGAGCAATTGGTTTTCGAACACATTGTTTAAGCTGTTCTACATCCAAAGCACATCCTAAGTTTATAAATATGATGCTCATCAAACTAGCAACACAAATTACAAATATCTTATCAATTAGTTGTGGTTTACGAATCACCACAATATTCAAATGGTCATCACTTGAGCTTTTAATTGATATTATAGTATTATTTTCTGAAAATGATAACTTAATAATTAAATAGAAAATAGTTATACTAGGTGTTGCTAATATTTCATAAACTCACTTATTTCTACAACTCGAAGATAAAGTTTGGTATATCCTAAGAACTCAGCAGTTAAATTAAAATGAAAACTCCAGTTGGATGGTATCTGTTGGCGGTTTTTGGGCAAATCAAAGAAATTTTGTCTGACATACGCTACATCCTCATCAGTAGTAATCATTTGAAGTTTTAAATTTTCATCCGCAATGAATGTATTTGTGTATACATAGGCTAGTATGTCTGTGCTACTGCCCATTTCCAACTGGCTAATATTAGAATTATTGAATGATAACGTCCAGTCTTCAACCATTGTAGTAGCATAACATGTAGCCACACATAAGTTAAACAAAATTACAGCATTCAACATTGTAGCTGTGAGTATAATAAAATAAAAATATTTATAGTTAATAGCTGCACACAAAGTAAAAAATGATAGTAGAACGCATCACTACATTATATAATATTTAATTCATTCAATTATACTTAAGACAATCAATTATGATCAACAAATTTTAATGTAAGTTAAATAAAATAGATAAAGGTGTTTATAAATTAATTTAACATTTCACAATTCACAACACAAGTATCGTCAATTGATAGTTGATACTCATGGACCATTACTTTAGGAGATACGACGACAATTAATTATGTCTCGAATGGATTAATAGTATTAGTATTAATATTTAGCAGTAGTAATGAGTGCTAACGAAATATAAATACGTCCGTGTACAATTGTAGTGATAGTTATTTACTATATAGTACTATGCATAAAATGTGTACCGAAATGGCGTAATCCAAACGTACGACTGAAGGAACCAGTTTCGTCAAGTTACACTCTTTAAAAAATAAATACTCACTTTAGAATCGTAGCCAGTAGGTAGGCGCTATGATGGTGGGGAATATACAGATTGAATTTCATTGCATAACCAGATAAATATTAGAAATGGAAATAATCGAATGAAATAATCGAATCATTCGATTATTTTAAAAATCATTCGAACGAATTAATAAAACATTCATATGATAAAAATTAGTTTTAAAAACCCACAGATATATATAACAACAGAAAAATACATTTCCTGAACTTTTTTCGCTACAATTAAAATATGTTTTGTGTTCCCGCGACTTCTGTTCCATCAGAACGCGTGTTTTAAAAATGGAACAAAAATGACCGTCGAAACAGACTTCATCCTTATACTTTTGATTATATTGTATTTTTAAATAGTAATTTAAATTTAACTTTACAAACTATCACTTTTTTCGCAATGCAAGACGCAGTTTCTAAATTATCATTAATATTTTATACATTATTCAGTTCTTAATAGTATGTCAATTTGAAATATTTTATATTTATGGTATTTATTTTTTATTTTATAATTAAATACTTATGATAAATATTTGTTCTATTTTATATTCTTTATACTCTACATGAAATAGTTAATTCACCGATGATCTATTCGAAAGATTATAAAAAATTAGTTGGTTTTTTAAGGCATTGTATATTATTTATGTTTGATCAAAAACACTATCGATGTTTGGTCATAAAGTAATATAACTGATGAAGGTAATAAAAATAATCGTACGAAAATGTTGAGGTTAATCTTTGTTCGATTGTTCAGTGAACGTTTCAGTAGTTAGAAGTAGTGAACATATTGTATACCGTGTACAATATGATGAACAATTGAATGATTAAACCATAGAATATATGAAAAATAATAACATAATTTCATATATTTTGTGATTAAACTATGTCATTCACATAAATGTGAACTAGTTCGAATTGTTCACTTTGCTGAATAGTTCAATTAAACTATGTCCGTTTCCACGAGAGAAAGATACCAACTACCGACTATAACCAGTCATCGTTGAGCATATCACATTTTTGTAAAGTGCCATATGGGTTAAGCCGTTTTACCGGATGGAGCAGACTACTTTTGATCAATGGTACTTTTCCCTCGTGGAAACGGGTATAGATCGTTTATAAATAATATATCTGTATTTCAAACATAGACAATATTTTTATATATCTTTATGTGTCTATGATTTCAAACAACATTAACTCACAAATTAAATTTATAATTAAATGTACGTAAAAAATTATTTTGAACTTTTTAAATTTTATTCATTTAAGTTGACTGATATGGATTCCATATTATAGAACCATATTCTAAAATTGGACGAACTAGCGCGTAATACAGAGTTTTCCAACAAATTTGGTCATTAAGTTCTCGGCTATTCCTACAAATGAAACCTAACATTCGCATTGCTTTGGTATGATTAATATTAATATGATTTGTGAAGGAGAGATCACTTGAGAGAGAATTATTTCTAAATCTTTGATTTTATTTACCGTTTTTAAATTGGATTGATTTATCAAGTACTCGAATAGGATAGAATGTTGATTACGGGTAAAAGTTATATATAAACATTTATCAGTGTTCAACGAAAAACCATTTATCTCGCACCAATTTTTAAATTTATCTAAATCATTTTGTAATTTTAAGCAATCATTACGATCATTTATTATACGGTACATTTTTAGATAATTTGCAAATAGAGAATATAAGATTCCAACCAAGAGTAAAGTGGATCAACCATACCAACACAAATCATTACACCACCACCAGAGAAGATATTTCAAGAGCAGATTCAGGTACATTTAAAATAAGGATATTCTGTTTTCTATTAATTCTATCATGAAACTCATTATAAATATTATTAAAATTAGTTAATTACGATGATATTTGGGTGTTATCAATTAAGCAATTTAAAATTTAGCAACTTTTTCCCGAAGCGAAGATAACTTAGATTTTAGAGCAAGTTGATCAAATTTTGACTGAGATTACTTTAAACGAAAATTATCCATTGACGTTTTCTTAGCACTGGTTGTTCTCGATGTCAGTGCTGGTCCTAGAGGAGAACAAGCGGTTCAATTGCACCGGGGTCCGCACTTGTATGGAACTCCACAAATTATGGGTTACGAATATTACTTTATCTATAAATAAAAATAATATAGTCCCATTACGTAAATCGCAACTCGTGTGGTCGTGTGGTTTTCTCAGGAAACGGGTTTTTATCGACAAAAATTAAGACGGTACCAATTACGCATAGCTTTGAAGTATTAAATGGAGGAATAGTAAGTTCCTACATGAGAGTAGCAGGTAAACAATTACATACTAAAGATGGAAAGTTTAGTTAATTTCTGTGAATAGTTCATTAGTTCACAGTTCATTCAAATGAATAGTTCAAATTAACTATTCTTTAGTTCACCTAGTTCACTAATTTTATTGATCATACCTACTGATATTGTTTGGCAATGAACTATTAGTACTAAGCTATTAGTGCAACAGTACATAGTAGTAGTTCACACTACTTTTGTGCAATTAAGTATTTTTTATCTAATTGTAAACAGCTGTTTACCAATTACTATTTTTAAGCTAGTTGTACATTTTACGCTGTATGATTATAACCAGGGTTCGGATTTAATAGCATCGAAAATACTAAAATATGCGTTGTAATATAACTAAAAAAACCTTAAAATATGCCCTAAAGACAACAAAAATAGCAAAAAAAAAAAAATGTAATTCAAAATTGTATTAAATGTATTATATTATTTTATGAAGTAATACATCAATAAAAAAAACTAAAATTACCATCTTCTGTTATCTTCTGTTTTCAAAAAACTTATATGTGGTACGTCTTGTTTCATGTATAACTGTTTTACCTTGAATGATGACATCTGCGGATCCTGCGGCGTTGTGGCCTGTTGACTTTTGGATGTATTCGAAGAAGCTTCAGCCAAGAATTTGGTGTAATCTTGAAGAATTGGAATTTTGAAGTCTTTGTATATATTTGAGTTCCTTACGAACCATGGAGCGTTTGTTATCATTCTTAAAACTTTGTTTTTAAATATTTGTGGTTTTTTTAGATGAGTTTGTGCACATTTACTCCAGATAGGGCAAGCGTATGTGATTAATGGACGTAGTAATAGCTTATATAAGTATAAGTAGGGAAAGTTTTTTTTGTAGTGAATATTTCCTGTTTAGAATAGGGAAGAGCATCCCTAGAAATTGATAGGCTTATTGGAGTTTAGATGAGAGGTGTGGCCACCAGGTTAATCTTTTGTCCAACGTTACGCCAAGGTATTTGACGGACGGCTTCCATGCGATTGGTTCGTTGTTAAAAGCTAGCGGTGGTGGAATAGGAGTACGGCGTAGACTGAATACACTTACACTTTTTGATGGATTAATTGATATTTTCCAGTTCTTGCGTCAGGCTGATAATGTATTTAAGTGGTTTTGTAGATGTACAGATATTGCTTCTCGGTTTCGAGATTCAGAGTAAATGGTAGGTTAGGTTAGTATCGTCCGCGAAGAGGGCTATATTTGTATGCGGCGAATGCGTGATATCGGATGTGTAGATGTTAAATAATGTTGGGCCAAGTATTGATCCTTGTGGGACGCCAGCTAAGATTAGTTGGAAATGAGAAAAGTTGCCATATATTTTAACAGAAAATTACCTGTTAGTTAGAAATGAAGTTAGGGAGTCGTGTAGATAATTTGGTGTGTTGATAATTTTGAGCTTGCACAACAACCCACGATGCCATACCTTATCAAAGGCCTTAGAGATGTCAATGAAAACGGCCAGGGCCGTAACTGGAAAAAAATTTAGGGGGGGATCTAATATTATTATTTAATACAATTTATAGTTAATAAACTATATTCACCGCTAAAATGTTTCTACTTTTGAAAATTTAGGGGGGGGGTCCGGACCCCTGCTCCCCCCAGTTATGGCCTTGAAAACGGCACCCGTGTGACAGTTTTTCAAATGATTTACTTATATGTTCAGTTATACGCATGAATTGTTGTGTGGTGGAATGATGTGCTTTGAATCCAAATTGGAATTTTGGAATTATGTCTGTGCTGTTTAGATTATTTTGCAGTCTTGAGAGGATGACTTTTTCAAAAATCTTAGATAACGATGTTAGTAGACTAATTGGTCAGTAGCTGTCAGGGCCTGCTTTGTCTTTCCCAGGTTTTTTTTATGAGGATTATGATTGCTTTTTTCCAATTTTCCGGGAAGTGACCAAGACGAAGAAGCGAGTTAAATAGGGAAGTCATGAAAATAATTGTTTTAATGGGTAGTTTTTTATAAATAAGATTCTTGATGTGATCGGGAAATTTTTTATTAGTTAGTCTTTTGATTATTGTTTTAATTTCTCCTGGAGTAACAAACTTGATTGAATTTTGTACCGAGAAGTTTAGTGATCTCAGAACTTCTTCAACCTTAAGGTCATTAGTGTTGTGTGCATATTGGTTTGGGGAGAAAGTGTTCAAAAGGTTTTCCGAGAAAACTTAGCATTATTCTGCGTTAGATATGATGAGATGAGTTGGAGTGTAGAGAGAAGGAATGCAGTTTGTTTCTTGGTTAACTAAACTTTTTGTAACTTTCCATAAACTAGAGTCATTATGATGAATACTTGACAGGAACTTGTTATATGAATTTACGCGGAATTGTTGCAAGGCGGTTTGCACTTCTTTAGTAAGTTTGTTTAACATTTTTTTGGCTACAAGATTTCTCTGGTTTTGCCAAGCGCATCTGGCATTGTGTTTTTGTTGGATTAATTCCAATATGAACAGTGGTAAGGCACCATGATTATTTGGATTTGGGGGTGTAGAATTCGAGCATACCCGTGCAGTATTAGTAACTATTTCAGGGAAGTGTTTGGCCATTATGTCTGTTACTAAGTCAGTAGTTCTATTTTTAGGAATATTTAATTGTATATATCTATTTTTTTTTGTGTAAATATATTAACAATTGTTTCAGTATTAATATATTTAGAAATTTATTTTTCAATATATAATATTGAGGTGTTGTTGAACCTTTCCTGCAGCATAGAAGTTCGAAGCCATTTATTCTACGCATGGCCGAAAAACTTCTTTCACAAGTGGAGGAACTTATAGGAATTGTTAAAGCAACTTGAAATAGTTTATATAAATTAGAAAAAGTCTGTTTTTAACCTATTTGACATCATTTAAAGTTATATAATTTTCATCAATAGACTGCAATACACAATTTTTTGCCTCTTCTATTTCTGACTGTAATAAATCTTTAGATACATTCATCAAATCCTGAAAAATATTCAAAATACAGGTTAACTTTTAATAAAACTAGAAAACTAAAGCATAGGTAAGTAAAAATTAATTTTCAGAAACCGATACGATACTTACTTTATAATGATCTACAAAGAAAAGACTTTTCTCAAAGTTTAATTGAAAAAATTGATCAACAGCTGTAGCCATTTGGAGGCTTTCAGTAGAAAATCTTTTTTCCAGATTTATCAAGATTTATCATCAAATACAGGAGAGAAAGCGTTTTTTCTAAAATAATCTTCAATGGTTTCAATGGTGTCATTAATATTTTGTTCAGCATTTGTGGTTGCAGTAGTATTAAAATGTTTAAAATTGTGTAGCTTTTATCTTTTTCTTTTGCATCCTAGTTAAATAAATATTATTATAATTATAAATAAATATAATATGTTTATTAAGTCTTACCTTTATATGGTGTTTGTATTGATATTTCATTGTTTTTAGCAAAGATTTCTATTTCACACCAAAGCTTAAAAAAAAATACTCTGTTCTAGAATTTTTAAGTCATCATCACAACTTCAATAATATTTTTAGATTCCCGTAAGGTTGCATTTTTTTCTTGAAATTTGTTAGAAATAATATTAATATTAATTAATACTTTATGTAAGATAAATAAATAAACTATACATCATTCACTTTTTAAATTTGTTAATATACCTAAAACAAAGATATTGAAATTTAAATACTTTGAATCATTAATTATTACTTATTATACTATACCAATTGCTTTATTTACTCCTCTATCATCTTCACTTTCAATTTATTCTTCTAAAACTTGAATAATTGCTTTATAACTGTTTTTAACAGACTCTATATTTCGATAACGGTAATTCCATCTAGCGTCACTAAGTCTAATAATTTTCGTATGTTTTATTCCTAGTTTAGTTAGAATCTCAGTTAATTTTTGATTTTTTGGCGGATGAGAAAAATGTACGTACAGGGATACAGGATTCTAAAGTGTTGAACACAAATCTTTTTTCCTAATATTAATATAAGTAATAAATAAAATCATGAAGATCTAAGATGTATATAAATGTTTATTACTTTTACATATTTACACATATCAATTACAATGAGGTTCATTTTATGAGCCATACAGTGGGTATAAATAGCGTGAGGATATTGATTTTTTATTTTATTTTGTAGTCCGTTAAATTTCCCAGACATAACATTTGCACCGTCATATGACTGAGCAGCTATTTGTGGTTTAGAACTAAGTTTACACTTTTTCAGCTACCATAATACGTAATGATATAAACTTTCAGCATCTTGATTCTTAGAAAAATCTATAAAATCGAGAAATTTCTCAATAACATCTAGATTTTTAACATACTTTACACATAATGCCATTTGTTCTTGTTTATAACACCTATAAATTAATTTAATAAAAATAAATTAAGAAATCCATGTATAAAACATAATTTATATTTCACCTTGCTTTATCACACATAATTCCAAACACCTTAACGTCTTCGATATCTTTCACAATTATTTCTTTCACAACATCTGCACATATATTTATAAGTTCATCTTGAATTATTTGGCTTGAGTAATTAGTTTTAAGATTAAGTTTTTTTTCCAAATTCCTCATTACTTTTTACCAACAATTTACTTAATTCTTTAAAGTTTCCTAAAAATATATTAATTTTTTTACAAATAATTATTATAATTAGATATTTTACATGTAAGATCATTTAAAACTATTAGTAATATTAGTTATTAATTTTCAGTTGTTAGTTTAATACCTTGATTTAAAGAATCTTTTGTCTCATCGTGTCCCCTTAAACCTTAACAACTTACAAATAAAACAATATCAACTAACATTTTCATATATTTTTTAATACTTTCAACCTTTAATGAATGCTGAGATGATATTTGAGAATAAACACTACCAGTTTCTTTTGTTTTCTGATATGCTGACCATTTAACCATACATGTAAGATGTAAATTACTTTTATCATGTGCATTCAATTTATTGAATTTACTTTTATTCCCATCTTTAGATCCACTACAAACACTCAACTATAGATTATAATATACAGTCAACTCGCGGTATAACGAAGTTCGATATAACGAAAATCTCGATATAACGTATACAACTGTCGGACCCTTGAAAATTTCGTGCTATAACGAAAAATCAAATGTATTTTAGTCCCTTCGATATAACGAAGATTTTTTGGCTAAAGTTCACGCAATGTAACGAATTTTTACAATTTTGGAGATTGATACAGCACATTTTACGAGTTTGTTTCGGCCATTCTTATGCGATAAGATAATGTTCATGTATCGTTTATATGATACACGTCTGTTAAATGTAAATTGTATTAAATATAAATAAAAATTTGTTGCTATCGACAAAGGTTTGGTTGTCTGTGAAGTTCTCAATGGTGATGAGATTTTGAATAAAGATGATGACGAAGAGCCCCCCCGTAAGCTCGAATGAAGCAAAATTAGGTATCCGTGCCGTCTTAAGTTTTTTACAAAGACATGATATTGACGACAGTGTATTTTGTAATATTCTAAATTTGAACAACGCTATTAATCGCGTAAGCGCAAATGGATACACACAAAAAAAAAATCCTATTTTTTTAAAAAATAAATATCTATGTATGTAATAAACAAAAAATGTATGAATGTATCTAATAAAATATTTAATAATAATCTCATATTGTATGTAGGTATGTAATTATAAAAATCTAATAAAATTTAAATTTTCTTTTAAATATCGTTTAAACAAATTTTGTTGATTTATGCTTTTGATATAAAGAATTTTGATGTAACGAACTTTTTGCTCGGTCCCTTGAAATTCGTTATATCGCGATTTGACTGTACTTATATTAATAATTATAATTAAAAAATTATTAATAAAACATTAATACAAAGCACATGATTTTTTCCAATTTCTAAAACCAACTAAAAAGATATTTTCAAAATTGCCACTATTTCCAGTACTTTTTTTTCTGAACCTACGACGTCACGGGAACCGCTTGCGCATTACTTCCGTTAACTATTTTCAGTACTAAAAAAGTGTGAACATTCAGCCCATGGTTCTTAATCTGCATCATGCAATTTATAACGCGCTGCAATGTATATCTTGTAGTGTTATATTTTATAGTCTTAATAGAAGTTATAAACATGTAGTTACAAAGGATTTTGATTAATTACATTTTTTCGAACGTATTGAGAGAAAACAATTTTCGAGCAAAGCAAGAAAATTTATTTTATGATTAATATCCATATTTTTTTAGTGCGTATACCTATAAATATATTTATCAATACACCACTGGTTAAAGGTAATATATATAATATTATATTTAAAATATGTAATGTTGTTTTACATAGTATTGATTGCTAAATACTACATTTAAAAACGTTTCAAATTTTACGCTAATTAACGCAAATCGCTAAATTGTTCATAATGTTTTAATTGTTAATAACGGTTAACGGTAAATTTTTTAAACGTTTAAATTTGTAGGTATAACGTTTAAACGCTTAAATTTAATAACGTTTAAATTATTTATAGTGTTAAACGCTCAATTGCTTATAACGTTTAAATGTTCCATAACAGTAAACAATATATATTATTTTGATTTAGCCTTACTTTTAAGTCCATATTAGTGAAAAATCAAATAAAAAACAAGCGAAACTTTCAAAACACAGATAGGTGTTAAAAAAGAATTACACAAAAGTCCATTCTAAGTGGATCTGGCATTATATTAAAAAAAAAAACCACAAATATTAAGGATTCACTTGATTTAAATATTATCAAAAATTTTACTTGTAAATTTTGAACCTGAATTAAAGAAAAAATTTGAGTCGCCACCCTCCCCCCTAGAAGTAAGTCTAAATACGTCTCTGCGTTATCGAGGTGAAGAAAATAGATGGCTCGTATTTTTTTTGAATATAATACAATAATTTAGTTAGAAAATGTAACTAAATTTTTTTTAAGTTTGTATTGAAGAAAAATTAGTTTCGACCCCCCCCCCCCCCCCCATGGCCTCAACTCAAATATGTCCTTGCGTTATGTTGAGTTGTGTTGTATGATTGTTTATCGTTGAATTATTATGATAGATTTTTTGTCATTATCGCGTATTCGTTTGCCTCTTTAGTTGGATGGTGTTTCGTAGTGCCACCAATTTATTTAATTCTCCAACGTTATTTACTCTATTATCACAACCATTACCAACGTTATCTACTCTATTATCACAACCATTACCATTGAAGTAAAAATTATTGATATTTGATTGTAGTATTGACAAATGATACACAGTATACAAAGCAGTGGTTCATATAGAGATCGTAGTGGATGTTGTCTGACGTACATTAGTTTAATAATTTAACTGTAGTTTCATTAATAACGTCGTGAACTGTGAGTTCGTGTAGTGTGAAGCCTCCAAAATCTTCCGACTGTACGCCTGTATTCTGTAAGTAGTACGTGGTGTGCTGCAGTGCATTTTATAAGGAATTTTTACTGGGTGACAAAAAAATGTTTTTCTTAAAATAGCCAATGTATACTACCATTATACGATTATAGTATTACACGTTTTTTTTCGCATTATTTCGCCCAATCTTTTAAAATATTGTCGACAGAGTATAATCACTGAGTGACATTTGTGTCGCCTAGTTAACTAGTTAAAAAATGCACTGGTGTGCTGAACAGATATTGAGCCCATAGCAAGTATAAGTGTAATATAGTAGTAATAGTAGTGCTCTGTAGTAGTAGTTGCAACTAGTAGTACTAGTATTTCATTGACTTGCACAAACTTGTTGACAGCGTATTATTTATTTGTATCTATTTAGCTAATCATTTATTACGGTTGTTCATTCCGAAGTTTCCCGATATTTTGGAATAATAAATGTGCGTTTCACTTGTTGAAACTTGAAAGTAATTTCGTACTGTTATGATATTCAAGGAAAACCAATCATGTATAACTCAAGGAGTTCAAGTACGAAAAACTGATATTTTTATTTTTGAAATTCTTAGTTTTTTTTTAATGATTTGTTAATTCATTTTATATGAATATTATGTAGACCAATAATAAAATAAAAATAGCTTGACTAATATTTGTACATAATGGTAAAAATATAATGATATTGGTGTGACCATTAATAAGCAGTTGTTTATAATATTTATTTAATATATTGTACTATTTGTACACCATTTTTTTATTCCATTTTACTATAAAGAACTTAGGTTAAGTAAATATTTTATCGGCTCTTATATGCTATTTTTTGTGTCTTAAAATTTACATTTACAGCTCTTATGTCTTGAGTGCAAATGCATTTTCTATAGGAACTACAACATTTCAGTTTTTAATATTTCTTTTAACATTTATTAACTTGTGCCATATCTTATATATAATATTATTTATAATTTTTTCGAGTTAATTAATTCTTGTAATCAGGGCTGTATTTAGGGGGAGCTACAGGGTGCTGTTACCCCGGGTGGCTGAACATGAGAGGATGTCTAATTTTTTATATTTTCAATATTTTATGATCTAATATTTTTGAAGTGAAACTTCTTTAAAAAATAAAAAGTGTATCACAAAAAAAAAATATGTATTGCCAATCATGGCGTCACGACACACACACAGATATACTCGGTAACGGGTCAAGTACTCTCGATAGATCCAAAGATTTACAAACAATCTATCCTTATGTTGACATTGCACTTAGAATATTTTTGTATACACCAGCAACAAATTGAAAGATCTTTTTAACCCGCAGAAATTTGTATTTGGTATAATGAAGTGTGTTTTATTGTTGCCCCCTAGTGTCAAATTTTCAAGTACGACCCTGCTTGTAATGCATTCCATTAGTTTACCAAATTATGTAACTTTATACTATATACCATTAAGCATAGCGAAAAAGTAGTAGACATACCTAAAGTTAACTATTAATTTATATTAAAATAATAAACTGTTCAATTAAAATTAAAAATATTAAATGGTTAATATTCATAAATTAGTATATTTATAAATAAATAAATATTTATTTCTGTATATTAGTTTTTTGTTTATTATATTATATTACATTATAAAATTATATTAGTAAAATATCTGAATGTTGGCTCTAAATTATATAAAAGTATTAATATTTTATTTGTAGGTACATCTTATTAATATATAGAATAATATTAGTTTTCCAGTTTTCAATAGAAGTAGATAATATATTGAATACTTAATAGTTATTTATTAAATCATTTTGTTGCGACCCAGATGTTATTTGCAAATAAATAGTACAATATTTTTGGTAAAGGAAGTGGATATTTATTTAACTTAGAAAAATTGTTTATAATGTATGAAGTGAAGATTCCAAGTGCACACCTACATGCCTCAGAGGACTCAGAGCAATCAACTCGTAAGTCGTGACAGTCAGGCAATGTATATACGGACAGAGTCCGTGGAATCTCCAATGGGTGTTGTGTGGGTGACTTGAACTGCGGAATCTAACTGGTGTCTTGTTTCTCGCCCTTCGTATTTATGCTAGTCCTGTGACTGTTAGGACACTGTTTTTTGGTGTGAAATCGTCCCGAACATCACGTACATCCTGTGGCCATCGGATTTCTACATTTGATAATTAGCCAATTGTACGTACCCTGAGCTGCATCATGAAAGTGTGGTGTTGCACTCTTGAATTATTATTTTAGGAACAATATTTTATTGGAGTAGGTTATTGTGTTAGTTGTATAATACATTTATATTTTAGAAACATATTTAATTCTAAGGACATTTCCTTGAACAAACGTGACAATTTCTCTTAACATACATTACAATTTTTTATGTGAAGGTGGGCATGTCTGACAACACGATATTTACGTGTCTTACAACAATTTTGATAATTTCTATTTTTTTAATTATATATATTTTACTATTCATTTTTATAGTTATATTGCTGTGAAAAAAAAACTATAGATTAATTTGACTATGTTAATGTAGAATCAAAATTATTTATTTATTACTTTATTCATCATCAAAAACTAAACTAATAAAATTTATAAATTATCTAACACTAATAATAAAATTTTAATTTTTTTTTTTTTTTATTGCTTTTATTCTTTTTGAATAATAAAATTTAACCTACGAATAATATTTTTAAATTAAAAAATCATTCATGAGGTTTTTTTAATACATAGGGATGTGAAACTTTTATTGGTATATTGTTATTCGCATAACTATTGGTAAATATCTAAGATCACAGCTGTGTTAAACATTTCAGCGCCCCGGGGCGAAATTTTTTCTATGGGGTCACTGGGCATATTAAGTGCAGATAAGGGCGCCCCTTTATTTTTAAAAAACTACGGTGCCCAGGGGCAATTGCATCTTTGACCCCCCCTTAACACACTCTGTCTAAGACTATTATTTTTTTTTGTTTTTAAAGTTATTATACAATGATTTTTATCCAACTGAGTTATATTGTTTACCTTCAAATTTAACAATTTGTAACTAAATTCTTACTTAGTTATGGTTTGCTTAGATACAATTGTAAATTAATGTTTACATATACTTGGTTTATCAAGGTATTTTATCTTTATAATTTATTTGAATTTTATGTTAGATTATATTATATAAAAATCTATAACTTTAAAGAATGATCTATTTAAATTTTATTCATTTTTTTTTTCACTTAATTCACCATACACAATAGGGTTATTGGCTTTACTTATAGCAGTGGTGGATCCAGGATTTTTTTTTTTTTTTTTGAGGGGTTTTGAAAAATGTTTTCCCTTGGGATATTTTTTATAATATTGCAGTCAATGATTGATAGGGCTGTGAATTTAATGCACTAAAGAACCTTAAAAATTGCATTTAAAATGTCAAAAAATGTAATAAAATATGCAAAATAATGCAAAAAAATGCAATATAAAATGCCAAAAATTATAATATAAAATTCATTTAAAATGGTTTTTAATTTAATTTTTATATTAATATTAGGTACAGAATATTATACATTAGTACATTACATGCATAAAAAAAAGAGTTTAATATTTAAGTGTTAATAAAAAAAAAAAAAAAATATTAAAAATGTTGATAAATATTTTCTATTCATAAAGCTATTCCTGAATATTGAAACATTACCTATCTGAAACATTTTTTAACAAATTTTTTTAGTATTTATTTTGTTAAAATAATAAAACAAATTTAAAAATATTTATTTTTGGGTACCTTATTCATTTTTAGTCTTTAGAATTTGATTAAAAATACATGAAAATTAACCAAAAAAGGAAAATATGACCTTAAAATACTCAAAAATGACCTAATAAATTTAAAATGTCAAAAAATGCAAAAAAAGAGTTGCCTAAATGGATCCATAGTTACATAATTCAAATTATATATTTAAAAAGCTATGTTTTACAATCACTAAAAAAAAATGCACTTTATTACAAATTCACAACCTTACTGATTGATAATGAATTAAGAAAATAGTAAGTAATATAATACATTAATTTAAACCTAAGATTACTAATTTCTTGTATGAATAAAAATACAAATTATATACTTTCCCTCACATTTAAAAAAAAAAAAAAATCTTTTTTTTTAATTCATAAAATTATTGATTCTTATTATATTTTTCCTGATTTTGTGGGAGGGGTTTAACCCCTCTCCCCATGGATCCGCCACTGACTTTTAGTTATTGTTATAAATAAATTACATAATTGTAGTAATATTTTAATTTTTTAGGAGATAGTAATTACTTGAGAAAAATAAAAACTCTTCGGCCGTTTGTGTTAACAACAAAAGCAACAAAAATGCCTTATGTAGCAACATTTGTAACAGCTGTAAGTTTTAATTCTGTATAGAGTAATAGATAATTATAATAAAAATTATTTATAATGGTTTTAATTATTAACTTTATACTATGAGTTATATTTATTACTATGAGTTTTACTATACATATTATTTTTTTATATTTGTTATTATTATTAGTATATTTATCAATATTTCCAATTAAATTGTTTTATTTTAATAATCATTAATTAATTTTTTAGAAATCAAGTGGACAAACTCAAATGCATCAACAAAGTGTAGCCCTAAATAATTTGCCGCCACCAATCCAATACACTCAGTCACAAGTCCAAAATCCAGTTTCTCAGTTTTCAGAAGTATCTGCAGTGAAAGATAAGGTGGTCTTAGAATACTTTTAAATTATTTAATTTAATCAATTTTAATATAAGTGAAATTGATACTCTTTATTGAAACATTTTGAGTTAAAATTATTAATTTTATATTTTATATATTTTTGTATAAACTTTAGTTATTTATTATATACCTAAAGTTATAATTTATTTAACCCAACCATATTGAAATTTTTGATTGATTTGATAAACGGAGTATATTTTAGACATCGACTAGGGATGAGGTCACTGATTATTTTAAAATTTAAAATATAGTAAATAATCTACTTAAAGATGACTATTATTGATTAAATCTGCATATTTTTATGATAATTAAGTTTTTTTGTTTTTTTTTCTAGTTTAATTTTTTTTTAAGCATCTTCCATTAATGTTTATATTATGATTTTTAATTTAAACTTAAATACTAATGTTCAAACAAATTTAATTTAGAAATCATATTAAATAATATAAAGCTAATAGTTAATTGTTTATAAGTACCAGGTGATTTACTTGAAAGTTAATTTTAATAAATATTTATTTTATTTTATATTGTTCACTAAATGATTTCTTTTTATAATCATGCGATCACTTTTTTAATCATCTACACATAAACTTTTACAGTTTTGAAAAATAATTTTTATGTATTCAGACGTAACATTGTAATTTCTTAATAGTAAAATAACAGTACATTTATTTCAGAGTTGTACTACAACTGATTTGATCAATACATACAATTTTTGGATAAATGGGCGCAAATATTATTTCTGAAGCTTCTTGCATAAACGTGAGACAGCATAGCTATAAATGTGTTGCGGTGATGTAAATTCAGTGTGGTTGAAGCTAATACTTGTTGCCAATGATAACTTTTGTTATAATCATAATAGTTAATTAAATTAATATTAAGAGTATATTATTTTTAATTTGTAGTTTAAATTAAATATATATATATATTTTTTTTAAATAATAGCTAGTTTTTTTTTGTATTTCAATATCGATAAAAATATGTGATCTCTTTTATCTTTACAATTTTGATACATTTTAAAGTCAAAATGAGTTGTAATTGGCAACTAGTATACCCAACCATTAATTTGATGCCATATTTATTGTATCATTTGACACTAAGGACTTTGTAAATCTACACAAATTTTGTGTTTATTTATATACCAAGTCGGTGATAATTTGTCATCATTTCTGATGGATTGTGTCATAGCTCTTCTAATGATTTCATACACCTTGGCAGATCAAACACTGTCTTGAATTAGAAAAAATAATAATAATATAATTATTACAATTTATATTATTATTATTATTATTTATTTTTAACTTATAATGTATTATCTGCTAATGTATATGTGTCTTGTGCAAACTGAACATACTTCTTCGCCGCGTTTGTAAAAATTGCTTATGTTGTCTCATTGGTTATACAGAATAATATGATTAAAAACAAGGATGATCAATGTGTGGATGAATCAACATCTGAAAAAACAGAAGTCAAATGGCCAACCAAACGTAGTATGTAAATTTAATATAAAATATTGAAATAAATAAGTTTATCCTTTATGTCAATTTTTTTTTAACCTATATATTTTAATGATTTTATAATGATGGTATCAAAAAATTTGAGGATTTCATTAGTTTTCTATTTAGGATAATTTTAATTTAGCAAATAAACAAGGTATTTCATAGCAAACTATTGTATTTTTTTTGATTTAGAACATTATATATTTTTTGTTTGTATAAAAAAAAATTGTTTAGTTTAGTGAATTTTAAATTTTCATGAACTCAAATCAAAATCATTTTGCAACATTTTTTTGTGCTATTGGTTTTAAAAAAATTGAAATATTTGTGTTTAAAGAAAAATTTTTATTAAAAAAGTTCAAATAGATTCTAAACCAGATTAAATTCAAAATATAAATTATAAATTTACTCATAAGTTAAATTGATTGTATTGATAGAAATTAATAAGAAAGAACAAAAAAAGCGACTCAATGCCCGAATGCGACGTTTAGTATGTCCCAAGAGTCCATTAATGGTATTTTCTGAATTGTACAAAGATGTACCAATTAAATTAGAAGATCGTCTACACAACAATAATTTTGTGGTTTTTACTGCTTCAATTGAGGTAATGAAAATTAGATAAAAAATATAAATATAAAAGTTTATTTTTTACTAACAAAATTTTCTTTATAAATTTAGATTGATGGACAAGTTTATACTGGAGATCATGTTTCTAAAACTCAAGCAAAACAAAAAGCATGTGAAAATTTTTTGCGTGTTATGTTGGCAAAAAAAATGAATGAGCGACCAGGTTAGTTACCTATATTGAAATGTTATACTACAAATATGATGTATAAATACCAATTTTTTACCAAAAAAAAAAGATGAATGTTTCGAGGAATCAAAAATAGAGGATGAAAGTGTTACATCGTCAAAACCTAAAGGACCACCTCAGGAAGATTTCCCATGGCCACATTTTGCTTCATTGGCTATGCATAATTTGATAGCTCATTGGGAATTACAGCCAGTTACAAAAGTTATGCCAGAAGAAACAGTAAAAACTCCACCTAAGGTTTTATTTTTTTAATTGCATTTGTTATAGTTATGATTAAAGTTGTAGTTTATTATTATTTATAATTTTAATTGTAGATAATTACCATTAATAACCTCGGACCACTTTACCCCCTCCTCAGGTGTACCACAAGGTGCTGTTCTTTCTCCACTTCTGTTTGCCCTATTCGTAAACTCAGCTGACTCCGTCCTCCAGCATGCCAAACTCCTTATCTTTGCTGATGATATGAAAATCTTTTTCCGTATAAAATCCATCTCTGACTGTCAGCTTCTTCAAAACGACCTTCAGCGATTAGTTGCGTGGGGTGAATCTTTGGGACTAGCTCTTAATATAGCAAAATGTTCAGTAATGACTTTTTGTCGTATTAATGCTGTAATCGAGCATATTTACTCCGTAAACAATACCGCCTTAACAACCTGTAATAATTATGTAAAGGATTTAGGATTTACTCTCACACGGAACCTGTGCCCTAATATGCATATTCAGATAATATGTTGTAAAGCTCTTAAACTGCTAGGTTTCATAAACCGTGTTTCTTCAGACTTCTACTTGCTCTCCCCTCTAAAAACTCTTTTCTGCTCCCTAGTCCGTCCCATTCTTGAGTATGGTTCCGTCCTCTGGGACCCGTCCACCGCTTCCGCACGTAGCATGATAGAAAGGGTTCAAAGAAAATTCCTCCGTCAAGCAGCGTACAAACTAAAGATAGTCTATCCACCTCACGATTACACGCCAATCCAACGCCTCTTTTCCTTAGAAAGCCTCGCCGATCGTCGTCATTCAGCTAACTTGACATTTCTATTCAATCTTCTTTCATCTAAAATTGACTGTCCTGAATCACTATCCCGTGTCTCATTTAATATCCCCTCCCGCCGTACACGATCATCTGTTCCATTTCATATACCTTTCTCTTCCTCAAACTACTATCTTAACTCACCGATCATCCGTCTTATGCGCATTGCCAACTCTGACCCTTCATTCTCTCTCCAAAATTGAGCCTCGTTTCCATAAACAAAACTATTTTTATTATAATTTTATATTCATGTATTAAAGGGTTCGTCCCGTATTGTAATATTAAATAAATAAATAAATAAATAAATAAATAATGTTTATTCCTAGTTTATTATAATTATTATTTTTTTTTATTGTTGATTATTTTAAGCTTAAATTTTTTTTTTTTAGGTTGGTGGTATGAAAAAATTTCCTAATAAACCAGAAAATTATAACCCTGTACAGTTATTGCATCAAATGTCACCGGGTATTCAATTCACTGAAACAACAATTAATTCTAACAATCCATCATGTTTTGAAGTAAAATGCAAAATGGATGGTGTTACATTTGCTGGAAAAGGTAATATTATTAAAATTAAATTAACCATACATATTATAGAAATTAATTTATATTTAACTAAAATATTTTTATAATTTACACTTCTACTTTTAATTAAATATTTTGTTAAAAATGGTAATTGCTGTAATTAAAATATTTGTTTAGTTTTAATAAATTCCTATTTTAATTGTACAATAATAGCTTAAACTATAGGTTCTTCTTATAATAAGTATAATTTTCTATTTTTTTATGTATTTTATAGGATCAACAAAAAAGGCTGCTAAGAAAGAGTGTGCTATTGCAACAATCAAATACTTTTGGAATTTTGATTTTCACACTGTAGAGAAGAAATAAATATTTACACATTTTTTCATACCCATTTAGAATTTTGTTTAGTATTATAGATTTTTTGTGTACCTACTTGAAGTTGTATTTATTCATTGTATGTGTTTTATTGGCATTTAAAAATATTCAACAAATCATTGTTTTATTTGAGTCTAGTATTATTAAGTCCTTATGATATGACAATTTTAGTATTATATGTATTTTTTAATATTAAGATAATATTTTTATCTTATCTTGATAATAATGTAGTTCATAATATGTTTGAATATATTTTTTTTTTCTTTAGTGTTTTCGTGTGAGTATAATTTCTTTGTATACTATTTAATTTATAAAAAATATTTATTTTAAAATCATGAAATACTGTAATAGTTTTTTAAATAATTAAAATACAAACATAACATTGGTCATTTTATTTTTTTATTATTATTGTATTGATTACATAATATTTTTCTTTTTTACTGTGATATTTTTTAACAGTTAGAACAGGGGTCGGCAACTGGCAGACCGCGGTCCATATTCGGACTGCGGAAGCCAATACTCTGGAACCTGTCAACTTTTGTTTTCATACTTCTAATATTGTAATTTTTAATATAAATTAATTGTAATAACCAAATAATTATTTTTATTTTTATACTGCTATTTTTAATATAAAAACATTTTTTTCACTGGACCTCATTCATTATTTTAAACTTTTGGACTCCAATGTAAATTACTTGCCGACCCCTGGGTTAGAACTATAATTACATAAAAGTTTCATTCAATTCTTGATGAATTTGTAATTTGATTACCAAATGTACTAGAGATAAAATTAATTTTCTCATAATTATCAAATTGTTAGAAAAAGTTAGGTAACATGTTGATATGGAGCAGGTATATTATAATTTAGTTTTGTAAAATAAGTAAATTTTGTATTTTGGGGTACAATATTTAACATATTATGTTATCATATTACTGTGTTGTCAGTAATTTAGTAAGATTTGATCAGATAGTAAATTTGAAACTATACTTTTATCAGATCCAGCGAGAACTTTTTAGGGCTACAGGGCTGATCGGTTTCAGGCCCCTTTTACTTGCACTTGTTTGATCAAGTTATACCAGTAGCGTAGATACAATTCTTTTCTGGGGGGGGGGGGGGGGGGTTAAGAGTAAGTTTTTAAGTGTTCGTAGTATATCTTAAAACGAGATC